TCTATTTGTCAAAAAAAAAAATCGCCAGTCTCCGTGAGTATTTTCCATTAAATAATTAAAAAAAAACAAAAACCCGTTAAGGACTCGGAAACAATTTACCTTGATTATACCAACTATTTGGAAACAAACCTTTAACTGGAATAAAAAAAAAATCTCATTATAATATATCTATATATACATATAGATATTTTTCTCGTTAAAGAAAAATACATCAAAATGAAGGCTGTTTCCCCTATTAGCAAAGCGTCAGATATTCTTAAAAAAAACGAAAACAATCGGGTTTCAAAGATAGCTAAAGCTACAGAAACGGACTTTATGACGAACGAAATGCAAGAATGCTTTCAGAAATTGATTAGTCTTGTGCCAACCATTCCGCGAACACACAAGATTTCCAAAGTTCAGTTACTACAGCACGTCATCGACTACATTTTAGACTTAGAGGTCGCCTTGGACTACCCAAATTTCAAACAATCCACCCCTCCCAAACTGGTCGCCGCGGCCGCCGTCAGTTCTCTCACATGTCGATCGCCGTTATCAGAAAAAATCGATCCAAATCCAATCGTCTTGCACGAAGTAAGTACGTGATCATTTTCCTTATTATTATTATTATTATTTATTATTATTATTATTATTATTTTTTTTTTTGTTTGCCTTGAATTATCCCCTTTTCTTTTTGTGGTGTCGAATATCCTACATTTTAGCGTCCGAAACATATTTGGGCAAACGATATAATGAATTACCTCCCTTAGATTTATTTACCTAGCCTCATATTCTGATCGCGTTATTCATTTCCTTTTTTTTTAAAATCATCTCTTTCTCACACACACACACATACACACACGCAAACACACACACACACACATATATAATTTGTAAAAATTATTATTCATTACATTTAAAAGCTGAACTTCACTTTTTAAATTAATATTTTTGTTTAGTTTATTCGAAATGTTTTATCTTATATTTATTTATGCATTAAATTACTTGCTCAGAATATGACGCTAGTTAAAAAAAGTAACGTTGACAATTTAGTATTTGGTATGCGAAAACGTTTGAAACGCTAAAATGAAGGATTATAATCCACTGTTTATCAAGGAGCTGACCATTATATATATATATTTTTTTTTTTACTTATTTATTTATACTTTTAATTTTTCATTTCAATTGTAATCGATATCTAGTTATCCCTTTTAAAATATGTCCTTGTCTTTATCCTGTGGCCATAAAAAGTCAATAAAACTAGATGATCAATTGATCAATCAGTTTTCAAAAGATGCTTTTTTCAGTTCATCTACTCAGCATATGAACTTGAACACTGTGTAAAGAACGAATTTAAAATATTGTTAAAAATAAAAAAATAAAATCTTACTTAAACGGCTGTTTTGTTTCCATTTTTAAAAACTTAAAAAGAAAAAAAAAAAAGAAACATCGACTCAAAAATAAATACGTTTTTAGTTTCAGCTTTAGAGTAATGATGCGTCGTAAAAACGTTATTCTTTGCGACTCCACATATCCCATCATCGAAATTTCAGTCCTATCTTCATCTTTTCCGAATTACGTTATTATTACAGCCATCATGAAATGTACTAACCACAAACGATAAACCCGTCACGGTACTGTTTACAATGTTGTTGAATAACAAATATTATAGCCACAATGAACTATTCAAGCAGCAAATGACCGTGTGACTTTTCATGATACACTTCTAGTTCTCTAGAGACATAAGGCCAGTGTAATCAAAGGAGAACAATCTCAAATGTAAACAGACTTTTTGTTGGTTATAAACAAGCGTATATAAACTTTGTTAAATTCTGACACTATCAAGGGTGGTCTTGTGGTTGTCCTCGACAATTCCGGATCTTCCGCAAACTAAAAATGCAGTTTCTCTTCCTAAAACTAACCGCACCTTGCTATATTACTGCTTGGTCGAGAAACATTCGTTATTCCAACCTAAACCTAGTTGCTTTCTGCAATAATAGATCTTTCTTTTCTTTTTTCGTTTTTTTTTTTTTTTCATTTTCCATTCTTTTTTAGCGTTTGATAATGGCGAACTTAAACTTTTTATCAGAATGGGGTTAATATGAAAATATAAATATTTTGTTTGTTACGTATGGTTAAAAAAAAATAATGAAAAGAAAAAAAAAACATGTAGAAAGCAACGCTAAGTGACTTCACTATCTTTGTCAAAGATATGTCAATTTACAGCAATCTGTGGCAAGAGTCATCACGTCCCGAAATGACATAGCCTTAAAAAATGTGCAAAGGCAAATTATTTCACTATGTTTGTAACAGATATTTACAGGAATCTGTGGATAGCCATCACATACGCCCTGAAAATATTATAACGTAAAAAAGACTCCTGGTTATTTAGTATTTACGAATCTGTGGAGAGCCTTCACCTTCGTCGTGAAAATACATAGCATAAAAAAACAAAACAAAAAGGAAACGGTAAATCACTCATAGCAATTCACAGGAATCTATGGTAAGCCATCACCTTTATCCTGAAAGGACATAATAAATGATAAAAATAGGTTTGGGTTTGGTTATTTCATACTGGGCTTGCTATATAATTATCTTTCTAGAAATCATTTTAATTTAGTTTACGAGATGACTGACTACGGCGAGGTCCTATGTCTGTAGCCTTGTGTTCTAAGTAGGTTATTTACAGAGCGATCGAAATGTAACTCCGTTTTAAAATACTTATAATTTATTTATTAACTATAGTTTTTTTTACAATAAATGAATATGAAAGAAAAGTGTTTTATTTAAAATTTGATAAGGGCTCCAGAATTCGCTTCCAGCTTCTAGAGCCGCCTTATTGTCAAATGATTTCACCAGGAACTCTTGTTGTATGAAGGACAACATCTTGTATTCTTCCTT